CCGATGCCGAACAGATGTTACAAGATTGGAGGATAGGCGTTCAGGACGCGCTTGTGGAGATCGCCGAAGGACGAGGACTCGGTGACGGTGTCCCGGGTAGTGGAGATCCCATTGAGAGCGACGAGGAGGATCTGGAGGATGGGAACGACCAAAATACACGCGTAGACGATGTTGAGGACCTAGGCTCGATGGTGAATGCTCCAATACCGGTCGACTTTACCACCTACAAAAATTCCGCAACCGCCCCTGGACCCGTCAAGGCCCCCGCATCCCGTCAGGCTCCCAAGGAGATGGTTCCAACAACCTCTCCTACGTATGCCGCTCTTACCAAGCAAGGCTACAGCATCATCGGCTCTCATTCGGGCGTCAAGATCTGCCGATGGACTAAATCTGCTCTGCGTGGCCGAGGCTCCTGCTATAAGTATTCCTTCTACGGTATCGCCTCTCACTTATGCATGGAGGCAACCCCGTCCCTCTCATGCTCCAACAAGTGCGTCTTTTGCTGGCGACACGGCACCAATCCTGTCGGCACCACGTGGCGCTGGATAACCGATGCTCCGGATCTGATATTCGACGGCATCACAGCAGCACATTACAAGAAGATTAAGATGATGAAGGGCGTCCCCGGTGTCCGAGCCGAGCGTTTCAGCGAGGCCATGCGCATTCGTCACTGCGCCCTGAGCTTGGTCGGCGAACCAATCTTCTACCCACACATCAACGAGCTTCTCGGGATCATGCATCAGAATCGCATCTCCACGTTCCTTGTCTGTAACGCACAGCACCCAGCTCAACTAGCTTCTTTGATCCCGGTGACCCAACTCTACGTCTCCATCGACGCCTCAAACAAAGACAGTCTTCGTAAGATTGATCGACCTCTTCACCGGGACTTCTGGGAGCGCTTTTGCGCTTGTCTAGATATCCTTCGTAACCGTCGATTCGAGCAACGCACTGTCTTCCGTCTTACGCTTGTCAAAGGCTTCAACATGGCCGAGGAGGTGCGTGGCTACGCTGACCTCGTCGAACGTGCATTGCCTGGTTTCGTCGAAGTCAAAGGCGTCACCTACTGCGGTACCTCAGCTGCAGGGTCTGCAGGTCTCACTATGCAGAACGTCCCCTTCTACGAAGAAGTTGCCGAATTCGTAACGGAACTCGAAAAGGAGTTGAACAACCGCGGCCTGACCTATGGCATCGGCGCCGAACATGCGCATTCCTGCTGCATCCTGCTAGCCGACCGCACGAGGTTCAAGAAGAACGGCAAGTGGGCGACAAGAATAGATTTCGAGCGCTTCTTTGATCTCTACGAGGGCAAGGTACAAGGGACGAGGATGGAGGACGGGCAAGTAGTAGGCTGGAGACCAGAAGACTACGTTGGTGACGAGACGCCAGAGTGGGCGCTCTGGGGAAATGGCGGATTCGATCCTAGAGATGCGAGGGTGTATAGGAAGGGTAAGGGGCCGAAGGGTGATGATGAAGCAGAGAAGAGCGCAGTGGAAGGGCAGGCCACTGCGGCTGCGTTGGAGTTCTGATTCTCGTCACAAATGCAAACATTAATCAGAGTTGAAATGCGTTGAACAAAGGCTCATCATTGTTCTTCTATCTATGCATTGTATTCATCAAGTCGTAACATCCATGTATGCAGTCGTAGTGACGCAGCACTCATATAGCCGCCCACTCAACAGAGAAAGCCCTCACCGGCTCATTCTCTTGGGCATCTACCTCGGGGTTCTCACCACCGATCATGTAGGCCTTCTTCGTTCCAGTACCGAGACGTCCTCCACCGACAACATCCAGCAAGTCGAACTTCTGGTCCCAGCCCAAGCCAGTGGCGGCGAAGTGGCTGTGGTACCGAAGCGGGTCGCCGGGGTACACGTTGTAGTGGCATCCGAAGCGTAGACCGGGCATGTGGTAGTAGCCCTTGGAGTGTAGGTAGCGGAACAGCGGGTAGCTGTCCGGTACAGCTGGTGGAGGGACAGAAGGGTCCTTGGCGGGTGTCGGTAGAGGTGGGTATGAAGTTGTTGGTGTGACGAAGTGCTTCTGGGCCGCAACGCCTTTCGGCGCGCTGGCCTGGACAGGAACAGCTGGTTCGGGAGCAGGCGAAGGGGGCGCAGCATCGAAGAGCGAGACCTCTTCGACTGAGGAGTCCACCTTGGGCGCCTTGGTTTGCACCCAGGAGTCTGAGAAACTAGAGCCTTTCATGATGAAGCCGAGACCAGAGCTACCGAGATCCGAGCTATCAGTGACTGAACTGGCGGGGCTGGAGGTGACTGTGGTCTTGGTTGGCTTCGCTGGCGCCGAAGAGTCTGCGAAGCTCGATCCCTTCATGATAAATCCAAGACCCGAGCTTGTGAGACTGTCGTCATCCCCATGCAGAGTATCGTCCGAAGCAGTGCTAGCAGCAACACCACTCTTCTCAACCTCCTCCCTCTTAAGCCCTTTCGCCTCCAACGCCCTCTCTTTCCTCCTCTCCGCCAGCTCAGTCTGTTCCTTAGTAACATCCTCCCCCCTTTTATCCATCTCCGCCATATACGCCAGCCTATCCTCACGGCTCATCTCCGCAAAAGCCTCCTGATGTGCCTGCGCATCATCCACGAGATACGCAGCACCTTTATCGACGAGTACCCGAGCCTCTTCCGGCATGAGTTCAAGTGGTATGCCCAGAAAAACGTTCTGCTGGCTGAGGTTCGGTATCGTGCCGACGAGGAGACCGCAGATGTTGTGCGTGCGACGGCAGTGCGCAATAACGTCCACATCAAAGAGGAGGTAGCGGCCGGCGATGTGGGATATGGGGAAGGGTTCTTTGATCTGTTTGGGGGCTGGGGCAGCCGCCATGGTATATCTAGAGCAGAAACTTTGTTAGCTTCTTGACGTCTCGATTGGGAAAGAGCGGTGAAGGGCGCATGTCACGTGACAATCACGTGTTTCAGTGCGTGAATACGTTGAACCTCATGGCCACCGTTCGATGTTACATCGTCGGCAGCGCTCAGGGGATTGACAGATGTATGGTTGTAATCATTAAAAGGATGGAAATGTAGGGTTAGAGAAGAAGGGGTCTTACAACTCACATCGCGGCGGTGGTTGCGCCGGGGGGGACTGGGTGTCGAGAACGGGAGCTAAGGACGAGAGACGAGAAGCTCAGGACTGCAGCTTTAAGAAACTTTTTAGCTTAAGCCCTACCCACTTCGCCTAAGGCTTACTAATGCTATAGTCTTTTAATGTTATGTAGGATAGTGCCTATTAGTTAAGAATACATCTTAGCAAATCTCGTCTCTAGCTACTTAGCTACAACCTATACTTAAAAAGACCTAATCTCCCTTGCTACCTTCTATCTTAAACTACCTTAGCATAAACTACTATAATACTACTATAGGCTAAGACTAACTTAAAATGTTAACAACTAATAGCAGACTTATATTCTATAACTACTTAGCATAGGTAAGCCTTATATTATATTTCTAAAATCTCTCTAACGTTAAATAGAGAAAAGTCTACTCCTTTTATAGTGTCTAGAATTTTACTAGTAACGCACCTAAATGTAAGCACAAAAAGCTTATACGCCTTTTTGCCTACTAAGAGGCTAAAGTCTGCTATGCTAAAGCTATGTTACGCCTTAGCTAAATCTAATCTACACTTAGCAACTACTATCTTTTACCTAACGCTTAGGCTAAGGTAGACTAGTAGAGAGAAATCTTAAGACGCCTTTTATTTGCGTAGTATAAGAAGCTGCATAACTAAAGTATAAAATTATAGTAGAGGTACAGCCTACTGCCTAAAGTAACAGCTTATAGATTAACTATATATAGTTAGCAAGATATTAATGTAATTGTTCTAAGCTAAGGGCTCTGCAAATCTTTTTGCTAGGAGTTTACCCGCGCTGGTGGCTGCGAAACGCTGGATCTATGGGACATGAATGGCCGGTGAAGGCTCTAGACCGCTCATTGCCTAGCGCAGCCAGATCCCTTGGCGCGTCCCGAAGTTGACCCGGCATCATTAAATGGCTCCCGTGTCCCGCCCATAGCACACTGGCAGATACAGATGTGCGTGCTAAAGAATGCCTCTTGATTCAATCCCGCGATGGTGTCAATAGTAGCATAGCTGCTCTATACCTAAACTTCGAATTCGAATGACGCGTAGCAGACGTAGAATGTAGGCGCTGCGGGAAAAGGTAGATTTGACGATCGAGCCGCGAAAGTACATTGTAAGCGCGAGGGGTTCGAAGGCGAGGAAAGAGAATGAAGCGCAGTATATCGCACGGTGGTGGTGGTGGTGATGTGGTGAGGGATGTATAAGGTCACATCCACGGGTGCTTGCATCTTCCCAACCACTTGTATGACAACGGTACGAATGTCATTGACTCGCAAAGTGAACAGTCATGGCAGAAAGCTTGTCCAATGTCGCTATCCAATATTGCTGTCGCTTCATGAGGGATGCAGTAATTATTGTCGCTCTTTCCGCGCGGTCTCCGTTCGATCTAGCGCGCTTTCCTCACTTCGCACCTAAAGCTTCTTGTCCGCTTCTCTCACGTTTTTCGCTCCAACACCAGACACACGCACCGCTATTTCTCGCACCACGCACTTCAAATCTACTTCAAACTGCTAGAAATGGCACCAAACACTCACCTCGACAATGCGGCCACTGACCAGCTGAAAGGACTTTCAGCTCATGGCCAGCAGCGCGCCGTTCCCCCGTCATCCTCTCTCCCGCCTCGCCCGTCTCTCATGTCCCCTCCTCCCCTCCCCCTGACATCTCCTACCCCGTCTACATTCTCTAACTCTCATCCATCACCATTTCTATCGTACTCTACTCCTTCCTCTTGGCATCATGCCTCCTCTTCTTTGCTCCCGGTACAATACTATCCTGCTAATCACATAAGCAGTGTAGGCTCAACGCCATACGGCCCACGAGCCATGGTCATACAGCCACCAACACCAACGGGTTCAATGAGCTTTGCGCCCTCTTCCGCTGTGTTCGGGCAGTCCTCATCATTATTTTCAACGAGCTCAATGGGCTTTGCACCCTCATCGTCCGCTACGGCCAAGCAGCCCTCAATGTCTTCATCAGACTCAACGGGCCTTGCACCCTCATCATCTGCCACGGCCAAGCAGCCATCATTCTTCGCAGCCCAGATGGCAGCCTTGCAGTCAATGCAACCATGGACTCCGTCACAGATTGCCGCAACATCTACCTCTGCATCATCAGCCTTTCAAAGCTTTAATGTTACTTCGTCTTCAGACGTACAGATCACAAGTCCTTTCGAGAGCAGAGCACAATCTCCTGCGCTAGCGACTAAGAATTCCGCAACGCATGTCGAGACACCAGCACGGAAAACTATCTTCATTGTACAAGTACGATCAAGCGCGGGTGTCACTTACAGCATGTATCGTCGTCTTAACAAAAGACCAGCAGCGATCTGGGAGGCCTATCTCCGAGCCCACCCGCTTCCTGGAGGAACAGAAGCTGTCAGGTATCGCAAGAAAGACACCAAGAGGCTTGAACTGAGTGCGTATGGCTACATTCTCTCCCATCAATGGAGCCACAGGGCCACTGAGAGGCTTATAATTGATGATAGCGACGATACCCTTGCCCGCAAAATTCTTGACCTTACTGACCAGCAACCACTACACATAGTGGTCATCGGGACTGGTATAGACGGGCTATCCGTCAGCAATGAGTCTTGGAAGCTCATGCAAACGAGATGGCCCAAAGCCACTTTCGAGCTGTGTCTCATGGTTCCAAAAGACTCCCCATATCTGGCCAAGTTCCCACAGATAGCCTCAATGCACGACGACTACTTTACAACAATACGAGTGCAGACTTCTGATCTAGCTAGCGCATTCGAAACGGCAGAAATCGATGCAGTCAGGACCGCAAATGCGTCAATTCCACGGAACAAAATGATCGTGCTGCTGTTTCTGCTTGCCGAGTACGTAAGCACAGAAAAGTCGAATTGGGGTCGAAGACACGCGGATCTCCATGAAGATTCCGAGATGGCAGCCCTCGCTAAGACCCTGGGCTTACGCAAGGTATCAAGGAACCTTGATTTCGAGTTGAACCGTGTCTCTTCTCGGTCTGATGATGCCGGCGAACCTCAAAAGAAGGGACGCAAGACGAACACCACTCCCTCGGTCAGTATCAATGATTTCGACAGTGATTACGGTAATGCTTCCGGCGATGGTTCTGAAGACGACGAAGCACTGTTCTAGCCTACGGGTCATGCACTCTGATCAACAGCACAGGTCACACAAGACAACATAGCGAAGGACCCGATGATACAAGAGAAAGAATTGAACATTCATAATGGAAAGTCAGACACCATACGCTGACTGAGTGCCATACTCTGTGAGTGCCATACCCAAGAGCCGTCATGTGGCTCTGCGTTTCGCGGGTTCAGCTGGATTGATTCTGGTTGCGACTACCTAACGGGAACGCAACTGGGATTCATTCCAGGGGTGGGAGTGGCTGATGTAAGGTCGCGAACGTTTTTCATTGCTTAGTGCAGCATGCTGTACGAGTGAGGAAGATCGTTAATTCATGGCCATGTTGAGTCAACTCATGAAAGGAAGAGACTGAACATGTGCGCTAAGGTCTACGTTGGTTTAAGATAGGAAGATAACGAAATCTAGAGGCAATGTAGACTCCCACGGCGTCTACTTTACCTAGGTAGGTACGTGTTCAGTTTATTGCTTGAGTGAGGTGAAGTCAGGTCTGAGACTGGTCTGGCTCACGTAGGACTACTAGCGCGTCAGCTGACCCGGAGTTAAACGATGCAACGGCTCCCGCGTCCCAAGTTCCGCGCCCAGAGCATCAACACGAAAGAACACGGAATATGGCGCCGCCATACTTCCCCGCGTCGACCAACGGCCAAGATAGCGCGCCACCAAAATCATACTACGAGCAACAGCGCGAATTGCTCGTCACCGAGATTGCCCAAGTACGTGCACCCACCCAATCCACCACGGAGCGCATCGCAGCCCTCCAAGTCCCAGCTTCTACACCGGTTTATACTAACCAACAGCCAGAGTCTAGAAGTCGTTCTACAAAACATCAACAAGCTGAACCGTTCGCTCGAAGAAGTCACATCCGTCGGCAACGAGTTCGCACCCGTCGAGTCGCTATGGAGTCACTTTGAAAACGTCATGGCCAAGGACCCGAGTGAGCAACAAGAAGGACCACAGGAGGGCGCAACGGAACATGAAGGCGAGACGGAGGTGCCTCAGGAAAGGAAATGAGCGGTGGCAGGGAGATAACCTTGTTAGTTTACGATAAACAACAACGCGCCCGGAGGTGCACGGCCAGCCGTCTAACAGACCATGGCGATAGCAAGTATGATGTAATGATACCCCAGAGCGAGTCATTGGCACGGTGCGCGACACCAGGGGATCGCAGTTACCACGTTATATTGTACCTTTACACAGAAGATACACCGTGTGTATGATACTTGAGATTAAGGTATGCAGCATTTCACGTGCCATGTACATTTGGGCGAAAGCATGTATGAAGGCGGTCAGCGACACGAGTTCTGTCATCGGCTAGCGACGATCAATTTAGAGAAAACAGGTTTCAGAAATATGTTTGATTTACTTCCCCGGCGCAGGCAAATTTGATCGCCCACTCGCGCCATGCATACATACAGAATACCGAATACAGATACAGGGAAAGAAAATGCTGCTACTGTGGACTATGGAATCGCTGCGTCCATTCTCATGCCAAAAAGGAAACCCAAACGCCAGGCGGCCATGTACATGTAAAGACTTCCCTAGGATTAAGAGGAAGCGAACATGTCCGGGACAGTGGTGGAGGTGAGCCGTATGTCATTAAACATCTTGATCGTGTCGTCCAGCGTCGTGAATCTCGATATGCTCTCCTCTCGATAGACACAAACAAACTATAGGACCTTGCAGCCGCTGCGCTTCTTCTTCTTACCGCCCCCAGCAGGGAACGACGACGTGTTCCCTCTTGACGAGGTGGCTGTGCCGACACGGCGCTCTTCTTGCTCCTTGTGCTCCTCGCCGACGGCCATTGTGACGGCCATGTCGAAGATCTCCTCTACACCGTCTTGCTCTTTACTACTGCACTCCATGTAGGCAGCGCCCATTTTCTTTGCGACCGCACGACCTTGCTCCGATGTGACGGGCGTCAGGCCTTGTGTCTTGAGTAGCTCGATGCAGTTCTTCTTGTTGCGCAAATCGGACTTGAGGCCCAAAAGCATGAGGGGCGTCGTTGGGCAGAAGTGGAGAACTTCTGGGTACCACTGGATGCTGTCAGCTGGTGTACAAGGTATATGAATCGAAGTATCGTACCTTGTCCATGACGTTTTCTAGTGAGTTGGGGCAGTCAATCGCAAAGCAGACGAAAATGACATCTGTCTCTGGGTAGGAGAGCGGTCGCAACCTGTCGTACTCCTCTTGTCCAGCGGTATCCCACAACGCAAGTTCGACCATCTTGCCTGTGGGAGGATGAGGAGTGTGAGTGATGTAGTTCTCAAAGACCGTTGGTACATATTTCTGCAGTCGCATTAGAATCACATGACTTATCTTTTTAGCTGGTGGTGCGTACCTCTGGGAAGTTGCCGGAGCTGTAGCTGATCAACAAACATGTCTTTCCGCATCCACCGTCACCGACAACAACGAGCTTCTTGGAGTAGGCTGGTGGTTCGGTGATGGCTGTGTCGCGCGTGTTGGTGGTTCCATATGAGCTAACGGTGCCATTGCTGTTGCGCTCGCTCGGTGTGCGGGCGTGGCTGCGGACTGGTGTGATTGATGAAACGGCCGCCTTTGTGCTCTGCTTGCGCCGGAGGTAGTCGTAGTTCTGGGAAGGTGCGGTGGCCATGTTTGGAAGTGTGCGGGATGTGTAGTCGTGTCCTGTTTCAGACGAGGTTATCAATACGGAGAAGGAAGATGGTGTTGGAGTTGGTGTGGGGAGCGAGTGGTCGAGGCTTAAGAGAGGTGGATGTTGACTGTTAGAGGGCTCGGTCGCATATGGCAACCACGCTACGTCTCCAGCGGCTCGCTAAACTAGCGCCAAGTTGCAACGTGCCTGTCCATGTCTATCGATCGATGGCATGCATCCAAGCCCTCAGCCTCGTCTTACTCCACGACGCTATCGCTGCCGCTGGACATGCACGTTCGATTAACTCGCCCACCCCCTTTCTGCGACCGCTGCCATGAGTCCGCGACATGATGCGCCCAAAGACACCGCAGCGACCACGGAGCCCAAATTGGACGCGGGCAACAAGGGCCACGATCACTATGCCCAACGCCTGCCCAGATGGCGCAATGCCCTGCGCAACCGCCTCATACCCATTGTGCGCTGGGAGACGCCCTGGCTCGCCCTGATGCAGGACAAGATGCGCTCGCCCGCCCTCGACTCCTACTTCGCATATACCGCCAACCTCGGCACACATACCTTCTTCATGGTGTTCCTGCCCATCCAGTTCTGGTGCGGCTACACTAGCATTGGCCGAGCGTATGTCAGAAGCTGTCTCTCACTATCGTGCGACGTCTGACGTACATAGAACTGTCTTCATGCTTGCAGCCGGTGTGTACGGAACGGGCTTCCTCAAGGACATGCTCTGCTTGCCCAGGCCCTTATCACCCCCACTTGCCCGTATATCCATGTCCGGGTCCGCTGCGCTCGAATACGGCTTCCCCTCGTCGCACTCTGCCAACGCGGTATCGGTCGCCTTCTATGCCATATACACGTTGCGCCAGTCAGCCGAGCAAGATAATTCAAACTGGAATGCGGGCTTGCAGGCGCTGTTCTACTTCTACGCGCTCTCGATCATTGCGGGGCGGTTGTATTGCGGCATGCACGGGTTTCTGGATGTCCTGGTCGGAAGTATCATGGGTGCTTTAATCACGGCATTCCAATTGGTCTGCGGGGACTGGATGGACTCGTTCGTCTTCAGTGGCAGTTACATGGACATCTTCATCGCAACTTTGGTCGTGTGCGTTCTGGTCCGCGTCCATCCGGAGCCTGCCGACGACTGTCCATGCTACGACGATAGCGTATCCTTCTCCGGCGTAGTCATTGGGATCAATCTTGGTGCATGGCATTACGCTCAGACCGGCTATGCCTTGAAAGATGCATACCCCTCATCTGTTCCATTCGATCTGGAAGAGATGGGCCTGTTGAAGGCAACAATCCGCATTCTACTCGGTGTTGTAGTAATCTTCGTCTGGAGAGCGACCATGAAGCCTGCCTTGTTTACTATCCTGCCACCCATTTTCCGTCTCCTAGAGCAAGCCCGTTGGAACATGCCTCGCGCCTTCTTCCTCAACGCGTCCAAGTACAAATCCATTAAGCCTTTCGCAGATGACGACAACGTCATTCCACCTGCATCAGAGCTGCCACATATGCTGAAGAACCTCGCCCACCCGCGTAAGCGGTCCGTATCCGTTGGCCCACAGTCTGCTGCCGATGCTTACGAAACGCTTGCGTACCGGAATCGCAGACGACGGGAAAGTGTCAACTCGCTAGATGGTACGGTACCCGAAGACTCCGCTTGGATACCCGGCCCGGCAGTCCTTGACACACCCAACATCGAGAAGGGGGAACCGCTACTTGGCGCAGGTCTGCTGCCCACACCGATGGCGTCTAGGGTACACTCGTACGAGCAGATGATGGGCACAGGTGAAGTCCATGTGAACGAGAAAAACACGTCTACTCCTCCGAGGAGCGATACAGACGTCGCTGGCGATGTCCACACGCTCACACAAAGCCCGACTGAGGAGGAGAACGAGAAGCGGGAGATCTTCATGAAGCTTACGACACCGCGGGTGCGCTATGATGTTGAGGTCGTCACGAAGTTGATTGTGTATACGGGTATGTTCTATGCTATCAACAGAAATTCTAAGACTAACCATGATCAGGTATTGCGTATATCGCTGTTGCGGGTAACCCTATTCTATTCGAGTTCTTAGGCCTGGGCATGGGTCAGCAGTCGTAGTTGGACCACAACTATGTGACGTCTCTTCTGCTGTACAAATGCCGACACAACCAGATGGTCTTGGTCACTCCGGTGGATGGTCTCACGGTTCCTTCTTTTCTTTAGGAGTCGAGCCTACCCACGTAGTGTGAGACGGTCGTTGATAAATGCCAGGACGAATACCACTGTAGCCTGGAGCTACACAGTAGTGATTGAGGAATAGTAGGCATCATTTTGCGGTATGAAGGAGGTACACGATGCACAGTAATTCGCTTC